CATTTTAGATACAGCACACAGTGAAAATGACATGAATTTGACAGTGGGCAAAAGCATGAAGCGCAGCATACTTTGAAATCATGAGTTTAGTTTGTCGATCGCGCGTCTCAATGAAGCTGAACTCTCCTCCTGTCCGCATTTACTTTGCACGGACCGACCGTCACGCAGAGAACACGCGATCATGCAGGATACAAATGCACACTTCACAAGATCTCACAACTAGATTCGACTAATTTTGCAAGGTTTTTGAAACTAGATATTCATTAGTCATCCAAAGATTTGTTTAAATGATATAAATGCGTATTTGCTGAATGCTGACGGCAAATGAGAAAGTATTATAATGTTTGCCTTTCTATTACTAACAATATAAAAGCAATCGTTATAATACTTTTTTGCAGACATTTTAATTCCTTTGTTTAACAGTTCTATCTGATTATTAGACAGACTTCTATCCGTGGACAGAACTGTTAACGAGACAGCGAACAAGAAGGAGAATGTGAGCACTGTGTGTTCAGGCGCTGCCGTTTTTCAGCGCCGTCAAAATAAAAGCACGAACGCATCGGCCAAACAGAAAAACTTATCGGTCAAATATCGGCCTTGGCGATATATCAGTCGACCACTATACACGATGACAAAAGAAAAGGTTCATGGCTTGCAGCGCTTAAGTTAAAATACTGTGTGTGTAGTAATAAAATAATGTGTGCTCTTATCATTTTGTGGACAAAATCCCCTGAACTTTGCCCCGATCGGGAGCTGTATGTAGGAAATGTGCTATCAATTTGTTTTCAATGCAGCTAACCGTCGCTTCATGTCATCTTCCTACTCATTAAACTACGACAGCTGAGTTACTGCAAAAAAGATGGTCATTGCGACACTGTCAAAGTCAAGTGATGAAACTATGGCAACCATGTGCTTTTTAAAACCATTTTCATAGCTTTAACGTTACATTATCGTCTCGAAAAATACATTAATTTGACTAGAAACACTAGAGACCGGAAATGTAAAGCATCGTTCCAGTATGAGTCGGGCGAGACTTTCACGCTCTGGAAAAAGGTGGATAAAGAAATATATAAAAATGAATAAAAATAAGAAAAGCACATAAAATTACTGAAAACTAAAACTGAATGAATAATTCATTAAAGCTATGTGGAATATGTATAAAACCTAAAATGACAAAAGCATGTTATAAAATGACAAAAAAAAACAAAAAAAACTGAAATGATAAAAATAAGACTTTCACGCTCTGGAAAAAGGTGGATAAAGAAATATATAAAAATGAATAAAAATAAGAAAAGCACATAAAATTACTGAAAACTAAAACTGAATGAATAATTCATTAAAGCTATGTGGAATATGTATAAAACCTAAAATGACAAAAGCATGTTATAAAATGACAAAAAAAAAAAAAAAAAACTGAAATGATAAAAATAAAAGCTAATTCAAATACTAATAAATATTATGATAGTATATAAACAATACTAAAATATTTCAGGAAGTGACATCATCACAATTTTCTTACAGTGTGTATTAATTATAGTTACCGGTACAATGTTTTAATATTATAATTTGTGAATATTACATTATATTTATTATGTTACATGATATTATAAATAATATTTGTAACAGTAAATAACTATTGATAATGTTCACTTACAGATTTGGACTTGGCCAGGCTTCCCAGTGTTTGGATGGTTTTGGAAATGAGAGTCAGTGTCCGAGACGTGCACGGATCCTTTACAGTGACAGAATTGATCAAAATAAAACATTCGATCGTGATAAAGAAGAAGAGATGAACAGAGAGGAGGCTGTACACACCGGGTGATGCGGCCGCAGGTGGAAGAGGTTCGGTGACAAGATGGCAGGAGCGAAGAAACGGAGGAAGATGAAACTGCTGACAGCCGTGTAGCGCACATCCGGGTCGACTGCAAAAACACATACGCCATAATCATCATCATCATCACCACAGATCTCTGAGTGAGGCTTTACTGATGCCTCTCAACTAAAACAAAGCCAATCCTGTTCTCTGCAGTGTTCATCTGTGATCTGAAGGTGGCAGTATAACACTGACGGCTCAACACAGCAGCAAAAATAAACAGGAAGCTGGGTAGAGCACAACAAGTATGTAGGGAAACAAATGCCTGGTTACGGGACACTTATTACTGCTAACCTCATTCCACGAAAATTATTTCATCAAACTCCTGCTCGTTGAGTGAAATCTACGTCTTTATGCATGTAACTGTTTTTCAGCTGCTTGAGAGACCATTCAACTGCTTTTAAAACTGCTAATGTAAGATAAAACTATAAAACTAAAAATAATAAAAAAATAATAATTTTTGGTTAATTGAAATCAAGCTAATATATATATTAGATAAAAAACTAAATTACAAATTATAAATGCTGCCTTGGCCACAAACTGAAAAACAAGCTGAAGTACAAAATTATTAAAACTAAAACTGAAAGAAAGATTAATTAAACCTATTTAGAAATATTTAAATATTTTTAAATATTAAATATTTGCAACAAACAAATAACAAAATTACTAAAACTTAAATTAAAATTAAAATGACAACCGAAAATATAAAAATAAAAGTTAATTAAAAGCAATGGGTTGATCTTTACAGAATTGTTATTGTTAACAAAAACTAAAACTATTAAAAATAATTTTCGGTAATTGAAATCAAGCTGAAATACAATAGATATTAGATGAAAAACGTAGAAATTAGAACATTTAGAAATTAGAAATAAAAATTTGAAACAAACTGAAATACAATGAGTTGAAGTACTAAAATGACCAAAACTTTAAGAAAAAATTAACATTAATAATCAACTCATTCTGACGTCAACAAAACCAACCACAGTATTCATTAATCACATTACTGATTATTTTCACAATAAACATCCTATTTCTCTCTAAATTGGATTATTCTGGCATCCTGTTGAACAACTGCTGACGTTTATTTCCAGTGTTGTCTTCTCAATGTATAAAGGACATTTGTATATTTTCAAATACTGTTGAATGTATTCCAGTAAATACTGTGTACATATAATTTCTGCATTCCAGGTAATTACAGTTAATTAAAACTAACACCATAAAAACCTTTTCATTACTTTAAATAAAGTAAACTTTATGAAATAAAATAAAATTTTAAATCTATTTATTTACTTTTTAAAATCTATTTATTTACTTTTTCATAACTAAATTTTATCTCAGCTAGTTGCCAAGGCAACATTTCATATTTTTGTTTAGTTTAAATTGCAGTACTAAAATAACTAAAACTAACTAAACTAAAATTAATAAAAGCTACATAGACATAAAAAAGAAAAATATTTACTTTAACCTGAAGTACTGAAATATATAAAGCTAAATGTAAAATGAATATATAAAAATTAATAAAAACTATATAGACATTTAAAAAAAACGTCTCAGGTTACGTATGTAACCCTGGTTCCTCGAGGGAACGAGACGCTGCGTCGGAAAACGCTAGGAGAACGCCTTCTGTGACCACGCTCTGAATAACATGTGAAATCAGTCCAATAGCTGAGCGGGACGTCACGGGCGGGTGACGTCATAACCAGGAAGCTATAAAAGCACATGCGGCGGAGCCAGCGTCAGCTTCAGGTTCAGGAGCGAGGCAAGACTATCCAGCGAGAATGACGGTCCGCAGACCCGCCTTCTGCTAGAAGCCTTCGGCCTGGGAGCGCCACTCTGACTCTAGACTCTGCGGAGTACGAGAAGTGAGGCCCCCAGAATGAGGGGCTGGAACACGGTAGGTTGGGACTGCTCCGCCCAGCAGCCCCTGCTAACCGCCTCAACCTCCTCAGAGGAAGAGAGGTTAATGCGTGCTCTCACTCGAGAAATTTATATCCCCTGTATATCTTCTCATAGTCAGACAAATACTTCATTTTATTCCTCAGAATTAAATGCAATCAAACAACCAGACGAGTAAATACGGTCTAGTGTAGTAAGATTCACATAAAAAAACGAAATTATGTAATATATGCGCTGCGCGCGAGCCACTCAGTCACACAAACAACATCAATCTCCTCAGAGAAAGAGGGCCGCAGCACTCACTCAGAGGGGGAAGAACCGCAGCGCGGGCTTCCAGCCCCGAGAACGAGCTCTAGATCTAGCGAACACGGGTGGAGATAGGAAGAGCCGTCTCCAACCCGTCTGCTAGATCATGTGCGATCTCCGCGTTCTCAGTCGCCGCCGTGCCTCGGCAGCAGCGGGACCGCAATCGCAAGATCACAGGCACGGACACACTCCTCGGAGCGTGCCCAGCGAGAGCGGAGCGCTTAATTTTCTTTTAGCGGAAAAAACACAATCCGCCCCCTGAGAGCCGACTGCGCGCGCTCCGCTCCCTATTAATGCTGCCCATTATAATATCAGGCATAATATGCTTGTGTAACTGATGCTTGTGCAACTGGCGAGCTCTTTGACGCCCTCCGTATCAATCTCTTCGGAGAAAGACAGGCGGAGCGTCGCGCCCTCTCTCCGGTGGGAAGGACCGCAGCGCGGGCTTCCGAAACCCCGAGAGCGGGCGCCGGATCTGGTGATTAGGAAGCAGATCCATACGCGAAACCCACGAGCACAGCCGCCGCTCCGCCTCGGCGAAAGCGGGGCCGGCACCGTGAGGAACGCTAGTGAAGGCTCCCTCCTCAAAGAGAGCCCTCTGAGAGCGAAGCAAGGCAGTAACAACTGTGCTTCGCTCCCAAGCAAACCACGCACAGGCTGTGTGTATCCCCACTCGTTATATAACGTTTTCTTTGGGCAGGGAGGAACACACAACCTACAACGTGGCTTGCTCTCGCCCTTGAAATGCTTTGTCTTTGCATGAGCTTAGACATAGCTGGAGCTTATAGACTTTCACAATTGACAGACAACAATAAATATGACTGACACACACAGAGCGCTTCGCTGAATGAAAGAAAGCTGACGCTGGCTCCGCCGCACGTGCTTTTATAGCTTCCTGGTCATGACGTCACCCGCCCGTGACGTCCCGCTCAGCTATTGGACTGATTTCACATGTTATTCAGAGCGTGGTCACAGAAGGCGTTCTCCTAGCGTTTTCCGACGCAGCTCGAGTTCCTGAAGAGGAACTAGTAATAATGACACAAACAACTAAATTCCAAAATTTTTATTAATTAATTAATTTAATTTAATTAATTTAAATATTAGATAGAAAACTTAAATTAGAAATGCTTCCTTGGCAACAAACTGAAATATAATGAGTTGAAGTACTAAAATTAATAAAACTGAAAGAAAAATTTAAGCTAGAAATATTTTAAAAAATGACAGAAAAACATAACATAATTACTAAAACTTAAACTAAAATAAAATGACAAAATGAACCAAAAAGAGATCTGAATCCACTTGAATGCAAACGAGAACTGGGATTTTTTTTTTCACGTTTGAGTCATTGGCAGAGTTCAGTTTTGATTTGAATTGAATGAACTGTGCCGGCTCATCTAACGGCGTGTGAGCATTTACCCTGAAAGCGTGACGCCGCAGACTCTCGCAGCGAAAAGAAGATGTCACACATGACTGTCGGACAGCTCACACCCGAGCTGGTGATGACGTTAAAGATCCGGTCCACGTACTGCCGTAAGTTTTCCTGAGGACACAGACATGTCAGCTGATATCAGATACATGTGGTTTCTAATGAGTTTAGTTATCAAAGCAAAAGTATCAGGTTTGTGAACAGACTCACCCTGTTTGTGTCTAAGTTCTCAGACTCCTTCAGCTTGACGGGGTCGATCTCACAAGGTTTGTGGTCAGTGCAGATCTACACACAAACAACAGTGAACGCAGCGCTCATGATGAGACTCAGTTATAATGGAGAAGAGACTGAGACCAGACTCACTTCATCAATGATGGGTTTGAGTGTGACCCGCAGGTAATGCATCCCTGCCAGCTTCATGGTCTCATCAATGCATTTGGACGTCAGAGAGTTCCCCCGGAATATGGTGTTGGGATCCCTGGAGGAACATGAGGAACGTGAGGAATGTGAGGTAGAGACGTTTGAGCGCAGATGAAGTGTGTTTGTACTCACTGTGTGCGGTTGATCTCTGCGTGGGCAATGACACTGAGGAAAGGCACGATTTTGCCATAATGCAGGAAGAGTCGCACCAGCGGGACAGCGGCTTCCTGCTTCTCACGGCACACCTCGCCCAAGATGTGAGCCGCGGACGCAGAGACGGGCTGCACACAAACACACCGTTAATCAACACCACTGAAGTGAACAAGACAAATTACGACTTATCAATAATGACAAATTAGATTTATTTGGGAAAATCAAATGGGAATATGATCGCCTCACACCTGTTGTATCGCAGTATTATTTTAATTATTTTTTTTATGCTTTTAGGATGTAACCTAAAATGATAGTTGAATCTTTTGATTGAACTATCCTTATATTACTATAAAAAATTATGTAATCAAACTCCTGCTCATTCAGTGAAATCTACATCTTGACCATCGACCATGAAATTGACCAGGAAAGAAAAAACTATAAAACTAAAACTAAAAATAATTTAATCGGGTGATTGAAACCAAGCTGAAACAAAACATATACATAAATATTAGATATAAAAACTTTTATACTAGAGTTAATTTCTTTTAGAAATTAGAGTGCTGTCTTGTCAACAAACTGAAATATAACAAGTTGAAGTATTAAAATTACTAAAACTGTAAGAAAAATTAAATAAAGCTATATAGAAATATAAAAAAACAATAACAATGACATATTTACTTTAATTATTAGGGATATTTGTCTTTGACACTCTATACATTATGTTGTTTTTGGGCCTCATGTGTATTAGGTTTTTGACTTATTTGAAACCTAAATAAAGATTACAAAAATCTTTACAGTGTACTACACGAATTAAGAATAAATTGTTTAGTTTAGTATAAATTATGGCCACGAATTAAGTATTCGTTCTCTTGTTTAGGCTTAGCTGCCACGAATTCATTCGTTCGTTAATTCGTTCGTTCCCTAGTTTTAGTAGGCCTAAATCGTGGAACGAATTATTATATTTCGTAATTACTTATTAAAATCATTATTGCTTAAAATTAATAAATAATAATAAATGAATTTAAAAAATAATTAAACCTGCTGACGTCATAGAAACGAATTGTTAATTCGAATTATATTCGCAGGTGTATTTTGTAAAGATCTACACACATTTCATCTCGTGTGTGTGTGCGTTTGTGTTTTAATGAGCCTGTTTTGAATGTTCTATTGCACAACAACGGCAGCTATTTTCACGGAAATAAAGTTAATGAAAATCAAATAAACTTTTTCAGTTTTTGCATTTTAGGTAGATTTGCTAAGGTTAGATTCATATATTTAATAAATTTTAATTAATACATTACAATTAATAAAATTAAGAAGAATGTAAGAATTTCGCTCTGAAACATGATAATTGCTATTTATCAGCATGCTTAATTTTAGACAATTATCCAAGAATTTCGGTACAAACAGTAAACAATTAGGCCTACTAGAGAAATTTTATGTCGGAGCAGGATCTGAGCGGGAATTGGTTTACGGCGAGCGTGAGCGGAATATTAACGGAGCGCTTGCTTGGGCGGTTAGAGCGAATGAGTGGAGCGCACGTCCATAGAGCGGAAAACGCCGCTCCCACCGCTCCGCTTCGCTCACATGCTGTTTACAATGTTTTAATATTACACTATGAATATTATATTCCATTATATTTATTACATTAGTTATTATTATATTGGTTTATATTACATAATGTAGCAATTCAGAATTTGTAACAGTAAATAGATACTCCTCTAAACACACTTACAGATTACTATTCTACTTCAACAGGACTAACTAGATGAAGACACGCGTGAGCTCACTGACCTCGACATGCGCGGACTGCAGCAGCAGGTCTCGGAGTGGGTTATAATGCTCTGTGGGGAACACGTGGTCCTCCGTGTAAACGATGTTGAGTCGTAACGAGCCCAGCTCATCGGCCTTCACCGATTTATTGCCATTATCTCTTGGCTGCAGGAAGTACCTGAAAGAGACGGCAGAGCGGATGATGAGCTCCAGAACACAAAACACGAGTTGCTTCAGACAGAACATGCATGAAGAGAGCCGTACCATGCATCATGAACACCTGACTGTCCCAGCACCTTCAGCGGCACCCGTACCTCTCCGAGAAACTCGTCTCCGAACTTCAGATTGCTGGCGTTCCACAGATCCACCCTAAGAACAGTGTTTACACTTATTCACTAGCATCAGTGATGTAAATGGAAATTTAAACTATTATATATATATGTTTTAATTATACAATTAAAAACATAATAATCTCATATTCCACTTACATCTTCATCTCATCAGCAATTTTGATTTTGGCCTGCTCAACATTGTGATGTCTATCAGCCCAACCCTACTATATATATATGTATATATATATACATACAGTATCTATCTATCTATATATATACACACACACACACACAGTGGAGAAGCCAGTTCTGTGATCCTATGAACACGCATGATTGTCTACTGTAAATAAAATGTCATATTCTTGGAATAAGAATAAATTCATATTTAATAATATCCTATTTATTATTTGATTATTTAAATCTCCTATTTAAAAAATGGGAAACAGACGCTCTATAGTTGAAATGTTTTTTTATCTTGCATTTTATCTCTCAAAATGATGGATGTCATTTTATTTAAATCTCCTATTTAAAAAATGGGAAACAGACGCTCTATAGTTGAAATGTTTTTTTATCTTGCATTTTATCTCTCAAAATGATGGATGTCATTAAAAATGTGGAGATTAGCAGAAATAAGTTAATGCAACTCTTACATAAGGTAAACATAAAGCTGCTTGGTTTATATTTTTATGTATGTATTTGTAGGCCTGTATAATACAAATTTTTTAATGGTATTGCATACCTGTTGCTGCCATAATAATGTTTCAAAATGTTCAAATGTTTACGTGCTTTTCTTGTCTTTCTTCTTTTTGTTCGTAACAGCTCCCACTCGCTGTGGTGGAGCAGTTATGACATATTGTTCTTGTAAATACTTTCCAGCATTTCAGTTTTTTTTTTTCAGTAATAAATATGCATGCAAATTACAGCAAAGTGCAAGAGTTACCGTATGGTGTTCGGCAGTGGTCAAAAAGGATTTAAACATTGAATTTTGAATCGATTTCTTCTTGTAAACTCAGAGATGTGGATTTGGACGGCAATTAAATTACCACACGACCTTGGTGTTTGTCAAAAAACAGTAGGTAATTCGGCCATGGATTTTTATGTGGGTGGTGGGAGAAAAACACTGACATATGGATTCAGACGGCAATAAAATCACTGACTAAAGTCCTGTTCACACCAAGGACGATAACTATAAAGATAACGATAAAGATATAGTTCTAAAAATCGTTCTCAGTATTAAAGAATAGTCCACACCACAGCTATAATGATAAAGGCACAGAGAAACGATATCGTTGGAATCACTTTCAGAACGATTTTTTTCAAGCTGATGAACGATAAAAATGTTGACAGCCAATCAGAATCAGTCCTGCTATGATGAGCTCGAGAATTTAATGCGGCAGACGAGCGTGAGCTTGGAATAAACAGACGATATCGTTCTTGGTGTGAACAGGCCTTAACCCCTGTAAATGTTGAAAATCACTTATCCCCATGAGAAACAAAATCACATCTCCATGAGAAACAATTACTGTCCGAATTGGGCTATTGTTATGGAAACTAAAACTAAAACATAAAAAAAAATGTTACTTGGAAAAACAAATAAACGTTACCTGAAATAAAATAAAATTCCAGCTAATTTTTCATTTTCATGATGTACTAAAATAGCTACAACTGAAATAAAAATGAATAAAAACTACAGTACATAGACATATAAAAATAAAAAACTCATAAAAATGATAAAAACACAACAATCACTACAACTTTAACTAATTAAAATGAAAAATAGAAAATAGAAAACCAAAAACTATTTCAAAATATTGATAAAAACTATAACAGTATCTCAATGATACTAAAATAACACCGTTAATGAAACATATTCCCATTTCTATAAATGTTTGTGGTGGGAATAACATCCTCACTGAGTAAAACAACAACAACTCGTATCACAAAAGAAAATTAGATGTTGTAGAACTAGGTCACTGCCATTATCAGCAATGAATCCTTACACATGCTGAGCTGATACGACACACATTCAGTTCCTATGATCACACTGCACAGCTGCTGCAGTCACAATCTGATGGTGTTTACAAACATCATTTCTTATTAGACTGCTGTGAATATAACCGTCACATCAAAGCACATGATGCGCAAAGATGCTGAATTACAAACACAGACTGCATCTGAGAATCACACACACACTCACACACCCACACATACTTATATATGTGGTTTACGGTAGGGCTGTGCGATTAATCAAAATCGAATCGAAATCGCAATTTGAGACGTTACGATTTCCTAATCGCAAAGCCTGCGATGTGGACGCGATATTACTCTGTTCCAGAGCATATGCATGACTGCCAGCCTTGAGTTGCAATCTTACTTGCCCTGGGCAAGAGTGAGCGCACCTCCGTTCTCCCCAATCAGCACTGCTCTAGCCAACTGCGTAAACACCCACCATTAAAAAAAAAAAAACCCCGGAACGCAGGACGGGAGAGAGACAGAGTGGGATTATGGCGTCTACTGGGTCAGATCGATAGTTAGGCAAATTAAAACTAAAGAAAACCGTATGCAACTTAAGCTTCGAAATGACAGACAACGAACAAAAGATGTAATTTGCAAGAGCTGCGTCACAGCGCATATCAAAAGCTCCCTTATCAGTTCTGTTTTCAGTACTGGAGAATAAAAGATACATTCTTAGATGTTTTTGTTAGTACGTGAACGTTATCTTACACATTTTATCTCCCCAACAGATTAATTTGAAATAAGTTTAAAATAAGTTCAAATGCATGTTGGCTATTCCTAATTCAGAAGAGCGCACACACAGCCCGTGTCTGTGAATGCTTCTCATACTCGCTCCTCTCTGCCCCACGCGGCGCGAATACCGCGTCGGCTCCGCACCGCAAGTCTTCACGAGCGCATCTGGCAGTATGGATGAGGCTTGACGCACGCGCGCAACCTGTGTCGACTCGCGCCTGGCTCCGCGTTTAAAACGAATGTAAATTCAGTCTAACTGCTTGCTAATTTCACTTGGATGAAATGAAACATTCAGCACATTTTCCACTTGCTCTTAAAATCCCAAATACTTAAAATGAATAAATCAATGTAATACTTTAATAATTGACTTAAGAAATAGTTCTTTATTTATAAAAAATAAACAAATATTTTCTGTGAAATTCAGTAATTAAGTTAATTCTGTAAAAGTAGTTATACCATTATAATCTTGCCTGCTGAAAAAAAAAAAC